TCCCCAGCCAAACTACTGGAGCTTTAAGGTCAGTGCTGTAAGTGGCAGAACTCTGTGTCTCTTTGTTTCTGTGTCTCTGTGTTTGTGTGTCTCTGTGTCTGTGTTTGTGTGTCTCTGTGTCTGTGTGTCTCTGTGTTTGTGTGTCTCTGTGTCTGTGTGTCTCTGTGTTTGTGTGTCTCTGTGTCTGTGTGTCTCTGTGTCTGTGTGTCTCTGTGTCTGTGTCTGTGTGTCTCTGTGTCTGTGTGTCTGTGTTTGTGTGTCTCTGTGTGTCTCTGTGTTTGTGTGTCTCTGTGTCTCTGTGTTTGTGTGTCTGTGTGTCTCTGTGTCTGTGTGTCTCTGTGTCTCTGTGTTTGTGTGTCTGTGTGTCTCTATGTCTGTGTGTCTGTGTGTCTCTGTGTCTCTGTGCCCACACCCCTGTCTGTCCGTTTGTGCTCGTCACTTGTACCTCCAGCATTTGAAGCTGGTTCTTTTAGGCTGGCATCTCGCCTGAGGGAATCTACTTTTTACACAAAGAGTGACAGATTCCCCATATCAGCATTTTTGGACCTTTGTAAATTCGACACCCCTGTTTTGTGTCGTGCCTCCATGTACTGTAGAACGTACCGGTCTTTAGAGCTGGGTAGTTGTGAGATTTCATCCTCTGTGGTGTTTAGTCTTCGTGCCAGACGTTGATCTCCGAGAAGCCCTTTTGCATGCATTTCCTATACCAGTGTTTCTCATCCCGACCCTCTGGGACCCGCAGACTGTCCACATTTTTCCTCCTAAAATACTAGTGTACAGCCACAGATGCCGCAGGGTTCTTAAAATCTGGACCTGGATTGTAAATCCGGGCCTTGTTTTCACATCTCCCAGGTAGTTACTTTAAAAATGACTGATTCTGATTGGCCACAGAGGCTTCACGCCTGGCTCACAGGTAGCAGGAAAATCAGCAGTGCTCTGTTCTTGAGGACCATGATGTGAATAGTCCTGCCCTACTGTGTACTACCCAGCACTGCCCAGAAACCTCCTTTTGGATACTGGTGTTTCCAGTGCATTTCCAGTGCACACTGAGGAGAGTTAAGACAGGCTAACTGCTAACGGCCAAATTAGCTGTTAGTGAGGATTGAGAGCTCAGCAGGGCTGGCCTAGTTTGCCCTGTCTGGTCCAGATTGCCCTGTCTGAGTTAATGGCCGCTGCTCTCACGGCACCATGGCGAGGATGTAACATCCGCTAGCAGGCAGGTGTCAGTCTGGTTTGCACTGGCAAGTGTGTCGCAGCCCCTGCAATGCTGGGCCCCCTCGACACATGGTGAGGTGTGCAATCTGGGCTGTGGCCCAGCGGCAGACTGCGGAGGGGCTGTTGCACGTGTGTTACATCTCTCAAAAGGCATCCTGCTTAAAGGGGAGGTCCTTAAAACATCCGGGGACAGAAATGTGGATTAAATCTACCATCTATGAACTGCTTGTTATCACAACTAAGCCTTCCCCTTTAAAATAGAAATTCCCTGCAGTTTTTGGATCTCATATTTATGCTGGTTAGAACATACACTCAGTTTCATGCAAATTTCAATCTTTATAGCAAAATGAGCTCAAGGGGAGTTCAACTTGCACAAAAATGTTCTGAGGGCAAAATGAAAAATGATTGGTTCAGAGAGATAACCAATTAGATTGTAGAGGAGGTGGGTCCAAGCAAGTAGAGGAGGTGGGACCAACAAATCAGATTTTTGTAAAACTCCCATGAGCGAAAAATTGTACGGACATAGTACCAAGATGGGTTTTGCCTTTGAATAAGAATAATAGGTATTGCATTTATAATATTGGAAAATATTGGAACACATGTAGAATTGAATTTGTGTGACGCTGTAATAGTCACACACATTGATATGCGGAAGCATGCTGAAAACTTCAAAACCTCATAGCAGATGTGGATGAATGTGACACGAAAAGCGATGTCTGTAGAACTCAAAACCTCAGCTGGCCGTGGCTGCCCCATGCACATTTTGGGGAGATCATTTCCGTTCAGAGTGCCGACGGTTTTCCTGTGGATGCATCTGCAGATGGACGTCACTTTGGGCACTTTGGGTTTTTAAACCCTGCTTTTTAGATTGGAAATACTCCTTCAGTTTTAGTCAATATCGTTCCCCAGGCCAGGATCCTGTGAAATAGCATTATGAAGTCAGATAAAGAAAGTAATTTTCCCCCAATCCCTCTTTAAAAAAAATGTTCTCTGTCTGCAGGCTTGATTTTGAAGTGCTCATTGAATTTGCATATCTGATTCCTACGCATCCATTTCTATAAATATTCATCCGTCAGCCGGAGACTAATATCCAATCAGCACTGACAGGGGAGCGTTTTAGGCCCCTCCCACTGTGAATATCCATTGTTTTGGAGGTTGCCAGGGGAGATCCAGTCAGAAATACATAGTGTTCCAGCACAGTACACTATGCACTGGGTTAAGTGTCCTGTGTTACCTTAGGGTCCCTGTGGTTCTCGCTAAAAAAACAAGCACTTAATGTGACTTGTCTCAATAAAACATTTATTTGAATAAATTCAAAGCTATCCATTGATTTATCTTCTATGCTGCACATCCAGTACTGTGTGTATGCGAACCCCACACACAGAGCCAGGGTTAGGAATCAAACCCACAACGCTTTGGAAGAATAGCAACTAAGTGATGCCGTGCATTGTGGGTAAAGTGAGTGCTAGCGACTAGGGAATGATTTATTTCAGTTGGTAGGCAGATAATTTTATCTGAAGTTGCACTGAAAGCTTACAATTTTACACTTAGAAAAATACAATTCACACCCCCCCAGCCAGAACACTTCAGGGTAAGAACTTTGTCCGGCGGAGTCTCCAGGGGCTCGAATCGTTTGTCTGAAGATGAGGCGCGTGCCCGCTGTACCTGCTGCTTACCGCCCCTCCCGGGTCTGTGTGCCCCTGCCTCCTCTCTTCCAGGGAGACCCTGTGGTCCTCGTAATCCCGTCAAAGCTCCGCGGGGCCCCGTGCAGACAGGCGCACCCCCCCCCTTCTGCCTTTCCCCCCATTATTAATGGACGAGGGTACCCCAGCTCCCCGTGTTGAGCTGCGTTTGTGCCTAACACGGTTGGTGCGTGAGAAGCAACGCGCACCGCTGCTGAGGAGCTCTCCCTTCTCCATGGTTACCTGCAGACTCGCTTCTTCTCGCACTAGAGAGGGAAATCCAGAGCTTAGTGTGTAAGTTACGCTTCGTTCCAGTAAAATCTTGTCTGCTAGAATGAGATTGTGTGGGTGTGTGGGTGTGTGGGTGTGGGTGTGGTGGGGGGGTTGGCACTGTTACCTCACACCCAGGGGCACTGCTAGAGATTTTGAGCCTCATTGATGCACATTATGTTGGGCCCCCAACCCAAACCAATTCAGTTGTCATCCAGATTTTCTTAGGGTCCCTGTCATTCAGACCAGGATTTTGTTTGTCAACTAATTCAGTACTCCGTGTCTGTAAGACTGTAATACTCAACAGGTAGGTTGCAACAAAATCTCGGTCTGGATTTTTACTTCCTAGACCTGAATTATCCCCCTCAGCCTGTAATTCGGGGATCTGGATTGCACGATTGTTTGGTTCAATTATGCTGGGATTTGTGAGTGAGCAAAAACATGGACTGGCTTGAGTTCTCCTAGGATTGGCTTGAGAAACTCCTGTAGACCAGCGTTTCCCAACCCAGTTCTCAGGGACCCCAGATGCTCCTCGTCTCTGCTGCTGAAGACCAGCTTAAGAAACAAGGGCGCAGCTCATCCTTTAGCTCCACCTGTCCATCCTCATTCAGAAGGGGCCAGTCGGCAGGTTGGGTGAGACTGGCGCCTAGGTGTCGCGTGACCTTTACCCCTGTGGATGCGCAGAAGCGGCATATACAAGCACCTCGATTTACAGCTGCCATCAGGGAGCTAGAAATCGTCTAGCATGTGGGCCAAATCGATGGCAACGTTTTATCTACCCCACGGGTGTGGGATGATTCATGCCAGCCATTATTAAATCCCTCTGTTAAGACAAGCAAGGGGTCCATGACGGCTGAGGGACAAAAGGAAAATGGAGAGGGAGCTTTTAAAAGGCTGTGATTTTTCATTATTTCTTTTTTCTCCCCATGGTGACTTACTCCACAGAGTAGAGGCACAATGCACAAGATGACAGCGCTCTGGGAACAAACCGCGACTGAAAAGATGACGGGAGAGGGAATAAAAAAAGGAAGTCTTTTTGCTGTGTGACGTTTCTGCACTGGGGGTGTCAGCGTGTCCGTGGGCCCGGGGTGGCCGTGGAGAGGGTGGGGGCGTGTAAGGAAAGGGGGGCGCTATAGTGACGCGACGGAATTGGACAGAAACCTGTAGGTGATCACGCAGCGAGGATGAAAAAGAGGAGAGGTAGCTGGAGAGACGAACTCGAAGCCTTCTAGCTGTGTTCAGACCATTGTTTCTGACGATACACGGTATTGCGCTCTGGAAAACCTGTCACTTTAAGATAATATTCCCCGCATATTAACTAGGCACCTTGTGTTGTGTTTAACCGTTTCCTCAGCACTGCCAAGAGGCTCATAAATGGGATTTAAGAGACTCTAACCCAGATACTGTACGTAACATACCGAATAGGATTTTAAAAGGACATCACTGTTTAGGTACTTCGCTCCGTCTCTCTCTTTCACTCTCTCTCCCTTCCTCCACATGTCATTACCTTCATCCCTAATGGGTTGATGTTGAGTGCTGGTGCAGCCGAGCGGAGGCGTGGTATGCGCAAAAAGCCCCAGTGCATTATGGGAGCGTCCCACTACCTGCTCGCTCAGCCACTTATCTTGGTAATGCTGGCTTGTGGCTGATGGCAGTGCTCTCCATTGATGACTGACACCGATTGTTTTCCTTCGTAGAAGGTCCGGCTTCTTGGCCTTTTAAACACCGCGATTATGCGCGCCCGTGTTTTCACCGTCTCCTTGAATCGACCGCCGTCGATTTGCCGGCTTCTCACGTTTGTATTTCTGGCCGCCGCGTGACGGTGGTGCCATCGAAGTCAGATCGTTAGAAAGGCCCGTTATTATGCGCGATCATGAAACGCTTCGGCGGGAATGAGGATCGTGGCGTCTGCGAAGCCCGCCGGGGCCGCGGCCGCGCACATCTGCTGTGGATCGTATCCGCTGAGACGTAATTACTGATTTTCGCAAAGCCTTGTGGCTGCGCTGTAATTTCACCATTCTGCTGTGTACAGTTCAGGGACCGTGCACTACCGTGTTTTCTACAGAAATGATGTGAAAAGTCTGGTAGGGATTAATCGGGGGACATGCTAATAGAGCAAGCTTTATTCAATGTAATCCCGGCCTGGGAATCTCACACATACATACAACTTTAATATCCATCTTCCATAGCATGTATCTAGCACATTTAAAATGAGTCTGCAGTCTCTCCCAGTCGTCTCAGAGCACAAGGCTAGGAACACGTTGGACAGGATGCCAGTCACGGCATACATACACAACAGGAAATGTGTTTTTTGTTTTTGTATTGATATATTGCGGGGTTGTTTGGAGGATGCCAAGCCTGTTACAGCAGCCTGTTACCTGATGTCTTGCAGTGATCAATCACTCTCATGTTTCTTGTTTCTTTTCCGCTCTCACGCTCGCTTCGCTCGCCAAAGGGCCCAAGAATTTTTATGCACTTTTTCCTGATTAGATTTCCCTAACCCCCGCCACGTGGAAGGCTTGACCGTACCTGGAGGAAGGAATCGTGTTATCCAAATTGCCCAAGCATACTCCAAACGCTGGGACAGAGCTGGGATTCAAACCCCCAGCCCTGGGGGTGTGAGGCCAGCATACAGCTTATTCTTCAATGTCTCAGGCTTATCTAATTTTCCGCTTTCGGCTTCAGTAAGAAAGAAGGCAGTGTAATACAGACTGACCATTTCCAACCACGGTGTAGGGAGCCTGTTATTGAGGAGCTGATCTGGGTTAAACCAGAGAGTTCCTGAGCATCTGGAGCGTCTCTGTGGTGCCCCTCCCTCGCTCCCTCCCAAGCCACCACTGAAGAGCATAGCTATTCTTTGACATGTCTCCTGCTCCAATGTAAGACCATCCATCCATCCATCAGTCTGTCAGTTTGCTCTTCCATTCTCTGTGGTATATCGTGGACTGGCCATCTGGTATACCAAGCATTTTCCTGATGGCTTTGTGGGCTGGCAAAATTCATCGCGGGCTCAAACGATGGGGCCAGTCGTGAGCATGTATATGTGATGAGCCAGTCTTGGGCAAACGTCCAGGGCCGATTCTTAATCCCAGTTCACTGTAGATCTGAGACGTTGCATCGAATAACATTATTATATTGAGTTATCAATCTGTAAGATGTCACGTGAGGTATGTCTCTTCTTCGGGGTGCTTCACACAGCTCTGTGTGCGTGGCTGCGCTGGAGGCTGTGTCGCATTAATGGGCCGTGTTGGAACGACAAATCTTCAGAGAAAAAGCAGAGAGAGATGGACAGCGTTAGCTGATGCCGCAAATTTCTGCAAAGAAAGAGGCCTGGGATGAGCTGTGTCTTTTGCCTGCAGACGTTCCTTCTCCGGAGGAGTCTGGCACAGGCGCTTATAGCAGTGAGCCTTCCTGCGGTTCTAGCAGATAGCCTTCCTGCGGTTCTAGCAGATAGCCTTCCTGCGGTTCTAGCAGATAGCCTTCCTGCGTTACAGTCTTCCGTGGCCAAGGAAGTCAAGCAGCGATGCAGCTCGGCCGTTTTCGCTCGAGCTGTAATTCTGACTCGCCGACGGGTCCTCATGATGAATCATGATCATTAATGGTGCCTAAAATATGGGTGTACCATTCTGGGGGTAGGGAGGTCTGATGCAGAAGTGTGCCAGCGTTTTCAGCTGCTTAATTGAGTAAACTGGTGTTTGTTGTGTTGCTAGTGCCGGGTTGCCGGGGTAACAGGTTTTGAAATTGCATCTGTCCTCTTGTGCTTGACACCGGCTCCACTGGTGCAAAGCCACACCCCCGTTCATGAGGAAGGCGACCCCGTGCAGCCAGCGATGTGCGGCAAATCCCCGGAAGGTGCCGTCCTTTTGGTGAAACACCATCCGGGGAGGATGTGGGATGGGCACGGTAAGATTGGCCTTTTTCGGGGCCTGTGGTTTTCCCTTCATCCTCTCCCCCTTCACAATCCTGCTTGATATTTGGGTTACGTGCTGAACCTCTGCTCATGACTGTCCTGTCAGTAAGTGCCAGGTTGTTACGGAGATGCCCCCAGACTGTAGCCCTGCCAGGGCAAGCAGGCCCTTTGATTTTGGGCCTAACTGATCACAGGTTGAGGCCCCTCCCCTCTGGAGCCCCCGGCGATTCATCAAAGCGGCCCTCCTGATTCGGGTCCGGGGGGTGGGGGGGGAGGGGCAGGGGTGGAGTGGTTCGGCCATTAATCTTCCCCTGAACCGCAGACAGAAGTCGCTGTTCTCTGTACCTGGTCAGGAGCCTGAGAAAGCTATTGAACCTCTATATGGACATTTTTTTTAAATGCTCTTTTATTACTCCTGTGGTGGTGATGCTTAGCGCAGCCCCTTATGTAGCATTTATTACAGTTGCATTTCATTCTTGGCTCAGTGTGTAGCCTCACACTTCCAGGGTTGTGGGTTCGAGGCATTCTCCTTCAATGAATGATCATTTGCCACATGATTTTACACTGGGTCCTCGCCCAGCCTACAGACAGCCAGTTAGGCTTATTTCTGTCTTTTAAATTGCCTGTTCTGTGTACATTTTTGTTCACTGTGATGGACTGGCATCCCATATAGGCAGCTATTTGCCCTGCCCGCCACCATGACCCTGCTCTGGATAAGCCATAATGAATGCTAGAAAGAATGATGATTTTATTTGCAGTTGACCTACATACAACACAGTTCCTTTGCTGTTTGAAAGAGTAATGAAAGAAGGCATCAGAAAATGCTCTTCTGTCAATACTGTGCCTCTGACCCTGCGGTGGATGGAGTCGTCATTCTGCTTTTGTAAAACCCAGCTGTGATTAATTACCGAACACTTTCTCGGGTGTGAACATATTGTCATCGTAGAACGTCGCGCGGTTTCGAAAGGGCCCCCAATTGCTGCAGTTCTGGCACTTGAGAATTAAATGTGCCTCATTCTCTTCCAAGCCGTCTGCCGTTCGCTAAAACAGCCGAAATGAACACGGACTCAGAGAACAGCCGCGACGGTCCCGTGTGTCCATGGGAAATTACACTTAAACGCATAATTGCGTTTAAATCAAAACAGACCGCTTTGATTCTGCCCTCTCACGCATGATTGCTTCCTTGTCTCAGAGTGAAAACATGCGGTTCCATTTGGATGCCCCCTGTCTCTGATGTTGCCACTGCGGACCCCCAGCATCCAGCCCAACATACCAGGAATGGGCCCCCCTGCCTGGACCCAAAGACACCATTATCTGTCCTTACATGCTCATATGCGCCCCCTAGTGGCTGGGCCCCTGAATTTCTTTCCCATCCTCCTCCCTTATGAGCCGCCCTGGTAATGGTGGGCGGAGTCTAATGTTCAGACTCCAGCACCCTTGGTGCTGAGCAGGTTGCGAAGCATAAATGAAGGATTATGGTCTGTTGGTTCCCAAACTGGAGCAGTGTTTGTTTTGGGGTTTGGGGGGGTCCAGAGACAAAGCCAAATGGCAGATATGAGGACTGGGCCAGACGTAGCACGCACTCCGAGGCAGCTCAAGATGGCGGACGGCCGCGGGACGCAGCCCCACCCGCTTGAGGGCCTCCCTTCTGCACAGTGATGGGTCTCCAAGGTGACGCGGCGAAAGGCTGTTTTATGGGCTATTAACCAGAGGGGGAAAAAAGCAGGATTTACTGAGAAATTGCAGCAATTTCATGACACTTTAGAAGGGAGAGTGGCAAGCGAGGGTCCCTCCGGCTGTGAGCGGTTGTCCTGCCGTTGACAGGGGGCTCATTATGGGGGATTCGGAAGGGAAAGCGGCCAGAAGCAGAAGTCTGGGAGTGCGTTAATTAAGAGCGACCCCCGCAGGCTGGAAGGTCTTCCACAGTCTCACGTCCTCTCTCCTGGTGATTGCCTGTGACCCCCCTTGCCCCCTTAAGTTTTTATCTGTGGAGGGGGTGCTCGTAAAATCATAGAAACGTTGAGAAACGTGTCAGGCGCTACAAAAATACCAGTCATTCTGAGAAGAGAAACTTGTGATATTTGCGATCTTTGCCGCGGCCGTTTCAAATCAAGGTTGAAGTATCTTCATAGTATCTTCATAGTTATCTTCAGCTATATGGCCATGAAATTATGATCTGGTTGGCCGTGCAAGAAACAGTTATAAATAGAAGAGAAATATGACGACGTGATTTACTGAGACACAGAAAGGGCCCAGACAGAAAAATACAGTTAAAAATATAGTTTCTAAAATGCAGCTGTGCACCCCAACAATGAGATGAATAGGCAGGAAAATTCTAGAATAGACTTTTGGTTACAATATTATGATTCTGGGGTGGCACGGTTTTGTGCCAGGGTTCGAGTCTCCACCATGGTTCCATGTGTGTGGAGTTTGCATGTTCTCCACGTGTCCTCATGAGATTTCCTCCAGGTTCTCCGGTTTCCCCCAACAGCCGAAAAACATACTGAGGTTAATTGGAGGAACCAAATCGCCTGTAGGTGTGAGTGTGTGAGTGGATGATGTGGGAGTGTGAGGTTGGTGGCCCATCCTGGGATAGGCTCCGTACCTCCCACAACCCTAAATAGGATAAACAGTTAGAAGATGGATGGATGGATATTATGACTCCAGTGTAGAGAGGGGGAGGGATCCTTTAGGAGATCCAGTCTTAAACTGGGAGGGGCCTATTTGTTCAGTTTTTAAGCCTTACTTTCTTGTTGATGGTGTTGAACCCCCCATTCCCATATCTCACCTGTATTTCCCAGTAGTCAGTGTGTGCTGACGATTACTGAGGTCTCCATTGCGTTTTATTTCATTCATCCTCCTCCTGCTGTGGCTTCCATTCAGCTTTCCTGTCTTTCTCTTGCTCTTCCAGAGCCGTAGTCCACGCCACTCCCAGTCCACCCAGTCCGGCCTGGCCGACCAGGCTGCCAAGCTGTCCTTCGCCTCGGCCGAGTCACTGGAAACCATGTCGGAGGCTGACATCCCCCTGGGTTTCAACCGCATGAACCGCTTCAGGCAGAGCCTGCCGCTGTCTCGCTCCGCCAGCCAGACCAAGCTACGCTCCCCAGGTCCGTCAGAAAGACAGGGAAAAGCAATCGATCCCCACAGCGTTGTGGGTTAAACACCCCTACGCTCAAATGTCGTCGGTCTCCCCGATTCAGACAGTGTTTCTATCCTCAGTGTTAAATACAGAGTGTAGTTTATCATAGTTGGCAAGGGAAGCTTATTGAGAGTTTTAGTACAGATTTGATGTGAACGGGCTCATAAATCTAGGGTTGAAACGTTCAGTGAAGGGCCGTAAAACATCCCATAATAAGATCGAGTTCCAAGGAAGCAGGGAAGGGCAGAGATGCCATTCTCATCTGCCGTGCCTTTATGACCGTGCTGTGTAACGACGGCTCTTTCTTCCTTCTACAGGCGTGCTCTTCCTGCAGTTCGGGGACGAGACACGGCGGGTGCACATCACGCACGAGCTGGGCAGCCTGGACACGCTGCACGCGCTGATCCTGCACATGTTCCCCCAGAAGCTGACGGCAGGCATGCTCAAGTCACCCAACACGGCCATCCTCATCAAGGATGAGGCGCGCAACGTCTTCTACGAGCTGGAGGACGTGCGCGACATCCAGGACCGCAGCGTCATCAAGATCTACCGCAAGGAACCCATCTACGCCTCATATCCTGCCGCCCACCTGGCCAATGGGGACCTCAGGGTGAGAGGACCGCGAGCCTCATCGTCCCGCTCCCCGGTTGGCGGCCTGTCACCTGTGGACAATCGGCTGGTTGACTATGATCGTCACGTTTTCCAGATCAGGGTAGGACAGGTTTGCCAGTCAGCGGATAATTAGTAGCACGCAATAAATATAATGTTACTGCCAAGCTTTACCTGAAGGGGGCGTTCAACTTACTTTGAGTCAGTACATTTGCATATCTGGCTTTCATTCAGTGAATTTCAGGCTTCGATTCAGTAAATTTCCATATTCAGCACAATATCTGAGCTTTTACTCTTTCTGAGAGTTCGTCAGGCTGTATGACTCACCATGGATGAGATCTGTGAAGCGTGACCATGGTTCCTGAGGACAGGGAGGGTGCCGAGTTTTTAAGAACCGTATCGCTCATCGGGGCCTGTGCTGGTTTGAGTTCCTCTCTCGGTTCCCCACTGGCTTGTTTCCGACACGGCGTGTTTTGTCCTGTGGAATGGATTCGTCCCACCCCCCCAGCCCCCGCCCAGTCACTCCTGAACATGTATCCTAATCCGGGAAATGAACTCTTCCCTTTTTTACAGCTAAATTGCTATTGATGTTTCAGCCGCTCCAATCTGAATCCGCCATCAGGTCTGCGTATACCTGGCCGTTGTAGCTCAGTCTTCTGCATCGAAGACCGTCCTCTTGGGGGGGGGGGTAGTCATATTCAGTGGCTCACCCTAATGCAAGTTGGAACCTGCTGGTAAAAATATGAAAATTGGCCTAAATTAGAATCAATATGTCAATGTTTTATTTTGACACCAAATAAAAACACACATTTTTTAAAATCATTATCTTTAATGGTTTTTCAGATATGCCTACTGGAGTACCCCCTGAACCGATGAGCGGGGGCCTCACTTTCAATCCCACGGTCCATTGTCACCGTTTCTTGTGGGATCTTATTACGAATCTCCTTTTCTGCTTTTGAAGCTATATTTTGTTACCTAGGTTAGTAGGGTTTTTTGTAGACTTCTGGGAGAAAATTCAGGGTGAAATGGTTTTTTTGTCAAACCATTGAAATTTTTGAAAGTAATATGGACAAGGTATAGGCTTCCAAAAAGGATATTCTGTTTTTATGAAAACAATATTTAAATATTTAACATTTCTGGACAGAAATTAGGTTAAGTGTGAAGCATTCTGGCCCATTTTGTACACCTTCTTCCAGTCAGTGTTCTGTACCTGCTGGTACATCGATACATTGCTGCTTGGTTCAGAGGAACCGGCACAGCGCCCCCCACAGGGCAGTCGGCCAGTTACACCTGGTCCGGCCGTGTTTGGCATGTTCCATCAGGGACAAACTCCCCTCCTTCGCTGGCATGTGCTCCCTTGGTACAGTCTCTGCCAGGTCCATTTTTGATACATGCTACACGTTAAGCGAGGATAATTTGGAGTTGGTTGGTGTGACAGATTGAGTGAGAGCAAGGGAGGGAATGGTGGGGGGGGGGGGGGCTTGCCATGGGGCCACTGAGAGGCCAGTGAGATGAATGTTTTATCTCATCAGAAAATACAGACTTGTGTGAAAGTACCTCATGTCCGTGGAAAACCAGCTTCTTAGTTCAGAATCCTTTGATTAAAGATATGGGCTTTATTTCCAAATTATACACTACAGGTCAAAAGTTTTTGCACGCACTGAGATTTTCTACATTTGCTTGTTACATATGCTAAAAATACACTCAATATTCTTCGCTGACAAATTCACCATTTGAGTACCTTTATTAGCAGGAAAGTGTCATATCTTTGATTCATCATAGTAACCTCCTCTAGCAGTTATAACAGCAGAGAAAAATCAAGGCATTCTTTCTATAAGGGACATTAAATACTGCTCTGTGTCATGGGATGAAACAGTTAACTAGTGCATTTAAAGTTAAAGGACGGCCTAGAATGTGACTATGACATCACCACACAACCAGTTAACAGGATGTCTGACGTGCACTGTTACATACTCTTTCCATGTTATAAAGGAAACTTGTTTTATTTGGCTTATATTTTCACTTATAGTTGTTCACTCAACTTTCCAATGATTAACAAGAATTAAAAATCTGCAGTTTATGACGTAAATGGAAAAGTGGTAAAAACCCCATGGTGTGTAAAACCTTTGCCTGGTAGTTCGTTACGTTTAGGATGATGTTGCGTTTAGCATTAGCATATGCATGCGATGAGATAAAAGCTGGTGCACGTGCAGTACGTTAACGAATGGGAAGATTCGTTAAGAGGTCAGCGGCAGCACAGCGGTTGAGTGCCGCTTCGTTACCGAGAAGCAGGAAACCTACACAGGCTGGTGAAACCTGTGCCACGCTGCTATTTAAAGACGCCTTATTAGGAACGGCCCACGCTGCGCCCGCTATCCTCCAGAGTTACGATAGAGATCTGCAGAGTTTCAGACAAAGTGTTCCGAGCGGCGCCTGTGTGCCCGCGAGCCAGACGAGGGGATGAGATGGGAAAGCAGTGAGAAAACGAGAGTTCAGAAGGTGACGGATTATAGGGGATCGCAGAAGGGGGCGGACCGACTGATGACAGTGATGGTGATGATGGCGTTAAGAGAGATGGAAGGAGAGACCAAGGGCAATGTGGGGAAAAGCGATGTCTGGCAGGTAATGGGGTGCAGAAATCCTAGCAACAAAGAGCCGGATGTAGAACTAGGGGTGGGTGACTTATCGAATTGTATTTTTCACCCTTGAGAATAGGGAATATATGTGCGGAGACACATTTCAGTAGCGTGAATTGGTTTGGTTCAGGGTGTCGTGATGCTCTTCCCTCCCAACCTGCAGGGGGTGCTAGTCATGACACTGGAGTGGAAATGAGGTGTTAGGCCAGCTGATTGTCCCCCTTTAGAGTGTTTCCGTGGTAACCTCCAGCTGTGCACTGTTTCAGAGGGAGATGGTGTACACCTCGCGGGAGTCCTCACCAACACGTCGCCTAGCCAGCCTGCCGTCCTCCGCCTCGCCCACGTCCGGCTCGCCGTCACGCTCCCGCCTCTCCTACGCCGGCGGCCGACCCCCCTCCTTCACCGGGCAGGGACACCCACAGCTGCAGCCGCCCCCGTCGCACGGACACCACCACGGCATGGGGCACCCACCCGGCTCGGGCCTCTCACCGTCACCCAGCGCCATCCTGGAGCGGAGGGACGTCAAGCCGGACGAGGAGGTGTCGGGGAAGAGTGTGGCGCTGCTGAAAAGCGAAGGCCTGTATGCCGATCCCTACGGCCTGGTGCACGAGGGCCGGCTCAGCATCGCCTCCACGCAGGCCCTGGCCGCCATCGGCGACCCCTTCGGCTTCCCCGTCGCCGGGGGGCTATACCGCCGTGGCTCTGTGCGCTCGCTCAGCACCTATTCCGCCGCTGCCCTGCAGGGGGAGATGGAGGACGCCCTTTACAAGCCCGGTGGCCCCCTCTACCCCGACTCCTATTCCTCCACGCTGGGCACAGGATTCCGCTTGGGCCCCTCGTCGCCCCAGAAGATCTCCGACATGCAGCTACGCGGTGAACGGGACTCATACTCGGGGCCCCCCAGCCGGTCCTCACCGGTGCGGCAGACGTTCCGCAAGGACTCCTCCTCCGTCTTTGTGGAGAGCCCCAAGTCCCGTCCGGGCTCCAGCTCCGAACCGCTGTGTGGCCCCGGGGGCCTGGGAGGGGACGGGGGTCGGGGCACAATGGGCTACAACTCACCTTTGGCTGGAAATGAGACGGAGACACGGTGAGGCTTCTGGGGGAAGCTCAGGGGGGTGTGTGTGTATATATAGACGTGATTGTATAAGTGTGGTTATTTTATGACCTTTAACCTTTGACCTGTGTGTGGCCCCGCCCACATCTGCCCTGTGTCTGTTCGCTGCCGCCCCCCAGGGAGCGGATGGAGGCGATGGAGAAGCAGATCGCCAGCCTCACAGGGCTGGTCCAGAGCGTCCTGACCAGGCCACCGGACAGTGACAGCACGTAAGGGTCCGCCCCCACTTCTGCACACGCCCCCCACCTCCTAACCTCCCCCACACCTCCTCGCGTGATGATGGGTGCTCAGGTGGCCCCTAGTGAAGCCCTGGCCTGTGGACCTTGACCCGCAGATGCAGCCTGCTGCGCCTCTGCATGATGGCCGGCTGCCCCCCCCAGCCTGGACTGGGAATCTCACCGCCCTGCCCTTTCTCTTCCAGCGAGAAGACCGAGTCCACCAGCGACGGCTCGGCCACAGGAAGTGAGTGCTGACGCGCTGCGCGTGACGCCCAAGGGCGTTGGTCTGTTGTGAGGGTGTGGCTCTTCCCACCTCCTTTGTTCTTCTTCCTTCTCCACCTCTATTTTGCATCTCTCTCTCGCTCGGCCCATTTCCCTTCCCCATCTCCTCTCTGCTCTCGTGTCCCTTGGTCTAAGCTTTTTAAAAAAAATCTGTCAGCCTATCTTTGCAAAAACACGCACTGTCTGGGTGCACAGAGCGCAGGTTTAACTGGAAGCCGCCTTGTACGGCGCTGAGGCCTTCAGGCAGGGTGTGTAAATGAGAGGAATCCGGAATCAGTCACTTGTTGCCCGCTGCCATAACTATGATTACAGGGTTGACGTCACGACATGAAAGTAATGCCTGCAACTAAAGAAAAAGTATATTTCTATCGGAATTAGATTGCGAGAGACGTGAACCAGGAGAAAGCAAAAACGTGGACAGTCTGTTCTAGAACTCCACCCCTCATTCCAGATTTCCTACAGGAGACCACCCAGGTCTTCCCTCTAAAACCCAGGTAGAAGTTTGTGATCAGGGTTGTCAGGGACTAAGAATGTAAAGCAGTTCTTGGCTTTTAATTATTCACTTGCCGCCCCCCCCCACCCCCGCCTCGGGCCCCTTGGGTTTGGGGCCGCATTGCAGTGACCGTGCCTTTGTCCGGTTACGTCGTTTGAATTTTCCCCCTAATCCCCAAGTCCTGATTTGTTACATACTCTATGAGCATTTTATGATCTGTGTGCTGTGTAGTTTCGTTACAGAAACCAAATTTGTGTCAGTTCCATCGCTTCTCTTTTTCGAAATTGCAACTCGGGCGATGCTGCCACTGGCCCCGGGGGGGGGGGGGGGTGGCTCTCGTCTTGGGTCTGGGCCGAGCAGACGGGCGAGTTTCCATCTCATTTCAGCCGGATGGCTTAAAAAAGAGAAGCGCCCATCCGCTTTGGCGCCGTGGCCAGGATGTAGCCGATCCCCCATCACGCCTTACTTTGGTCGTCGCTCACGAGAAATGAGGTCTTTTCCGGCGTGGCGTGATTCGCTGTAGCGAAATACCATCCCAGTAGCCGGGGAGGGGCTCCAGGTTTGAGAGGTGCCCCAGGTTCAAGTGGGAAAGGGATTCCATGTACCTTTGTAGTCCTGGTCCTTCACAGTACTTCTGTGTGCATAACTAAGCAGTTGAGGTAGACAGGAAGTGGAGTCTTTAAAATGCAGTGCGTGGTTCGCTATAACTGTTTGCGCGTGACTCTGTGCTTATCCGCTAACCACACCCCCCCCCACCCCCCGCGGCTCTTCTCGTTTCAGCTCAGACACCGTCGGCCCCCCTAGCCCTGATGCCCCCCCCGCCCAGAGGAGCCACACAGGCCACCACCGTCACCCGGTTGCAGATGCAACTGCACCTGCACGACCTGCGGCAGAACGCCAGTGACCTGCGCGATCAGCTCTCCCAGCTGCGCAAGATGCAGGTCAGTGGTCATGCTACCACGGTGACCCCCCCCCACCGCATGTGATCCCTCCAGCGGACACCGCCTGTCCCACAGGATGAAATAAAACACACACAGGGATGATTCAGTTATTTTTATATGACGCATTTCACAACAGAGTTGCCCTAAAGCGCTTGGCGAGAGTGTGTGACAATTACTACGTCATTTATACAAAATCATGCATGAAACAGGGAAGCGGGAAAGAAAGAAAGCCAGAAGACAACGGAGGAGAGGAACCAAAAACTCCCCCGGGCATGCTAACGTTATATGAGCTCCTATTAATAACAGGAAGGTGTAAACTGTGGTGCATTACTGCAGGTACTGTGCGAGAACCCATTAGCGCAGGGCTCCCTCCGTAACGACATTCGGCCATGTTGGTTCGACCGTGGATTGCAGGTTTAATCGAAAGCTGGCTCATACAGTACTGAGGCCTTGAGGCTGGATATATAAATGAGAGGCTGTGCCGCTTGTCCCCCTGGTGCCATAGCTATGATGACAGGTTTGACATGACCACATGAAAATGATGCCGGCGACTAAAAAAGTACATTTTTATCGGAATTAGATTGCGAGAGACGTGAACCTGGAGGGACAGCGTCAAGTAGGGCAAACGAAAACGGAAAGGCTGATGGGTTACAGAGCTGCGGGGATTTTAATTAAGAGTCGCTTTTATCTTCTGAGATGTTAATAGAGTAACGATACGAACCTCGCGCTCTCCGGAAGCCTGTTGGGTGGTTATCGGATGCAAGCTTCCCCCCTCCGGGAAAACGGAGTTCTGTAGTTTATAGGGGGCCCGCGTGGTGCGTGAGTCACAGAGCGAAACCGGCGTTCCCGATTGCGTCCCGGGGAAGAGCCCGCGGGCAGCATCCCGGGAGGTCAGGAAGGGTGTGGAGGACACGTCCTGAGAGTTACGGGGGAGCCCGCTTTGGTTCGGAAGGTAATCGGCACCGCGACGATGGCGGGGCAATTAAACCGAAGAGTCCGGAAGGCCGAGCTGTGCTTTTTGGGCCGGTGAATAATGGATGCAGAGCATGAATAATATAACACGGTCAGGTCTGGGGGAGCGACTACGTTATGCTGGGTAGGGGCAGCTGCCGTAGAGCGTCGGCACCAGGCAGGGGGACGGAGGAGTTTGTTACAAATTACCCGGCTGAAGCCTGCTGCTTGGCCCAGGGTCATCTCTCGCTGTCTCTCTCTCGCTGTCTCTCTCTCCCTGTCTCTCTCTCGCTGTCTCTCTCTCTCGCTGTCTCTCTCTCTCGCTGTCTCTCTCTCCCTGTCTCTCTCTCGCTGTCTCTCTCTCTCGCTGTCTCTCTCTCCCTGTCTCTCTCACTGTCTCTCCCTGTCTCTCTCTCTCGCTGTCTCTCTCT